ATTGTCATAGAGACAATGAGGTATTATGGTGAATGTAGTAAGAAATGTAGGTAAGAATGTGTTGTTTTGGTGTAAGGAATATTGTTTACATGATTGGGTCAGTGTTTGTGGCTAGCTAAGTCATCGTTAAGACAAAAGAAGACCGTCCTTTCCCTAATCCTCCCTTCGGCCTTGTGCCACATTTCTATGTATATATCAGAATAAATATCGCTCATTGGGGGGTAGTTTTTAAATTCCCCCCACCACAGACACTGAATTGTACAAATAGGAACTAGTTAGGACTTTCATAGAGACAATGACGTATTATGGTGACTGCAGTAAGACAGGTAAGTAAGAATGCGTTTTTTTCTGGTGTAAGGAATATTGTTGTATGTTTGGGTCAATGTCTGTGGCTATCTAAGTTAAGTTTAAGAGAGAAGAAGACCGTCCTTTATCCCATTCCTCATTTTGGCCGCATTTCTGTACATAGCGGAATAGATATCGCTCTTCGCTATAGTACCTAGACTTCATGAATTTAAGCGCAGTACTAGACTGGCGTTGAGGTCTCATCAATTTACAACTGAGCTGGCATGATGTAACCGTAAGTTTTAACAGTTTCTTTTCTCGCACTTCTCGCTTGTGGAGTTCTCTTCTGACTCCATGTTTTCCAGCCAACTTTAAGCTTCAAAAATGTAAATGCTTCTGTCTTTATGATTTCTCTTCTATTGTTCTCGTTCCTTAGTAATGTTTCTGTTATCTTGTTCTTCCACACCCAGTAACCCAGAGTAGATTTACCGCCTTGCTGGCGGAGAACTCGATTAAAGAAAAAAAAAAAAAAAATTAGGTAGAAATGCGACGAAAATATTAAATCCCGCGCGGTAGATACCCTTTCAGTGCCAGCGACCCTGCTATAGATCACGCTTAGTAGCTGGCAGGCTCTGGCCTCAAAACAGAAACTGCCATAGATCAGTGCCTTCCAACCAATGTAATGTCGTAGAACATGACAACAGCCTGTCTTGCCGCGTATGTGGACAACGCCCAGAGACATCGCTACTTCTATGGCAAGGGTTAGGATGAAACTACATTCTTTTGGGCCCCTCCAATTTTAAATAGCTCATTAAGCGTTATTTGGGGGTTGTTCTTCAAATTCGTTCTGCATAAAATCTTTGTGCGAATTTGACACTTCTCTGAAAATTGTCCACATCTTGAGCCTTCCTTATCGCCTTGGGATACACTCCTGTAAGCAGCTTCCTAAGGGACTCCAATATGCCAACCTTTTGATCTCTAATCTCCATCTGATTCGTAGACAGCCAGAATTTGAGTTTTCATTTTTTCATTTTCAGTCTTCTTGTTTTATGATCTTGACATAGTCCTGAATTTTAAGAAACACTTTAGTCAGTTAAACTTTTTCAGGCTTTATATATTATTAAAAAAAAAATAGATTACAAACTTTACGAGATTTGCTTTCCGTTCTTACAAAATTAAATTCATAAAATTTGGGGTAAAGTATTTTGTTATATTTGAAGATCCGTGGGTAAATAAGTTTTATTTTTTTTATGAAATTAAATTCAGTTTTCAAAAACAATTTTAACTTCGAAATCTAAATATATGAAACAAAATACAAATTTTGTTGGTTAATTCTCCAATTTTTTTTTTTTTTTACTCAGAATAAATGATTTCATTTTGAAAGTGATTATTCGCAAATAATGATGTCAGTGCATACGGTGACAAGACTGGTCAAATCGAGAGGTTGCTTTCATAAACACGGGTCCTCCACAGCCCAGGCAGAGGTTAAAACTTCTTCCCCGGCAGCTTACAAATTTCCTTGGTGAATATATCTTTCCCAGATATAAAAACTTACTCTGGCTCGCAGTCCTCAATTTGGGAAACCCCCAGACTCAGACTTTCCCCTTCGTGGAATGTTCTCACCTGAGACAGAGTAGATGAATCCGAAAGAAGTTAGAAGAAAGAATGTTAAATGAAAGAAAAAGAAAGGACGTGAAGAAAGGTAAAGAAAAAAAGAAGGTAAAAGAAAGAAAGAAAAAAGGCGAAAGAAAGAGAGAAGGTAAAAGAAAGAAAGAAGGTAAAAGAAAGAAAGAAGGTAAAAGAAAGAAAGAAAGAAGGCGAAAGAAAGAGAGAAGGTAAAAGAAAGAAAGAAGGTAAAAGAAAGAAAGAAAGAAGGCGAAAGAAAGAGAGAAGGTAAAAGAAAGAAAGAAGGTAAAAAGAAAAATGAAAAAAGAAGGCGAAAGAAAGAGAGAAAAGAAAGAAAGAAAAGAAAAAGGTAAAAAAGAAAGAAAGAAAGAAAGAAAAAGAAAGTTAGAAGGTAAAAAAGAAAGAAAGAAAGAAGAAAAAAGAAAGAAAGAAAGAAAGAAGGAAAGAAAGAAAGAGAAAGAAAAAGAAAGAAAAAAAAAAAGAAGAAAAAGAAAATAAAAAAAGAAAAGAAAGAAAGAAGGTAAAAGAAAGAAAGAAAGAAAAAAAAAAAAGAAAGAGAAAGGTAAAAGAAAATGAAAGGAAGAAAGGAAGAAAAGAAAAAAAAAGAGAGAAAAGAAAAAGAAAGAAAGAAAGAAGGTAAAAGAAAGAAAGAAGGCGAAAGAAAGAGAGAAGGTAAAAGAAAGAAAGAAAGAAAGAAAGAAGGCGAATGAAAGAGAGAAGGTAAAAGAAAGAAAGAAGGTAAAAGAAAGAAAGAAGGCGAAAGAAAGAGAGAAGGTAAAAAAAAAGAAAAAAAAGAAAGAAAAAAAGAAAGAAAAAAAAGAAAGAAAGAAAGAAAGAAATGAAAGAAAGAAGGTAAAAAGAAAGAAAGGAAAAGAAAAGAAAGAAAGAAGGCGAAAGAAGAGAAAAGGTAAAAGAAAGAAAGAAGGTAAGAGAAAGAAGGTAAAAGAAAAGAAAGAAAGAAAGAAAAATATTTCAAGAAAGAGAGAAAGGTAAAAGAAAGAAAAAAAGTAAAAAGAAAAAAAAAAGAAAAGAAGGCGAAAAGAAGAGAAAGGTAAAAGAAAAAGAAAAATTGTGATTAAAAGAATAAAAGGAATGTATAAGAAAGAGAGAAGGTAAAGAAAGAAAAAAGGTAAAGACAGAAAGAAGGTAAAGAAAGAAAGAAAGAAAGAAAGAAAGAAAGAAAGTAAAAAGATAGAATATTAAATGAAAGAAAGACGGTGAATAAAAGAGAAAATAAAGATAGAAAAATCGGAGAAAAATGAAAAGTTTAAAAAAATCACTCGGGAAAGTTAGAGAGAAGAAAAGTAGAAAATAATTGAGGAAGAAAAGAAAAAAAGGAAAAAGAAAGAAGAAATGAATAATTTAAAAAAAAAAAATCTAAACCAAAAATGAAAAACGAAATGCAAAAAGAAAATTAACAAGAACCCAAAATAATAAAGTGTAAAGAACGAAAAAAAAAAAAAAAATAAAAAAACGACAACGAAAAATACGCAACATGGCGGCAAAAAGACATCCATCATAATCGTGGTATAAATTCTCGTCACGGCCTTTCAAAGACTTGATAAGTGTAACGACGAGAAGAAAAACGTGAAGATCCGAGATTTGAGATTGTCATTCACTTTTATTTATTCTCCATTCATCCCACAAGTTATTCTTTCTTCTTTTTTTTTTTTTCTTTTTATTTCATTGTTATCTTCACGATTTGGAATCAGCTGGTGTTTAAAAATCAACGAACCTTCTTTACATCAAATTAACAATCCGATATTGTACATTATTTCTTTGAAAGCGAATAATCAAGGAAGCAGAAACGAGAGAGAGGTACGGATAAATTGGAGGGTAATATCTTCTTTTTTTACCTTTGGGACTGTAATATTCCATACACACAGCAAATGTTCAAACTTCTATATACCGAGTACATTCAGGACGTTGTCGAAGATGGCTTTCCATGATTTCCTGTCGTTTGTAGCTCTTAATAAAATGTGTTTTTTTGTTATCTCTCCTAAACCTTGTTTCACCATCAATTTGCTTAAACGCGTCCTTCATCTTCTTCTATGCGTCGTGTCCATTCAGGACGTTGACGAAGATGGCTCTCCACAATTTCCTGTCGTTTGTAGCTCTTAATAAACTGAGTCTTTTTGCTATCTCTCCTAAAGTTTTTTCCACCAACTACTTACTCAAACTCGTTTTTCATCTTCCTCTATATGCCATCAATATGTCCTGTTCATTTTCTGTCTGTGCTTTGAGCACAGAAAACGAAACATCAGACATTAAAAGAACATAAGGAAAATTTATTCTTTTTAAAAATTTATTCTTTTCATTTGTTTGAAGAAGGTCACGAGAACGGAAACAAGTGTAGCAGAAATATGAAGAAAAGAATATAATATATTAAAACAAATCCACATTATAACCAAATCGTCTGCGGTTTCTCTCTCTTTTAAATATATATATATATATATATAATCGACTCTCCCGTCGCGTTCGACGTATGAGGGTCAGGCCGATAAGTCCCCAGGAAACCGACATCCCGACACCGGCACATGAGATTTGTTTATAGTGGTGAAGGCCTTGTGCAGGACCAGCCACACTTTTTGGAGGGACGAATACAGAAACCTGGTGCCCCGAATGCATGCCACAAGGTTCCCAAACGACCCTCCGCAGGTTTTGAATTCAGAGTTGTCATTCTCCTAGACCAGTTGCCATCCAAGGCTATAGAACCCAGTCTGTCCTGCTATTTTACCCATAGCTGGAGGGAGATGAAGAGGATACATACCTTTCCCAAGGGTATTAGCACGTAAGTGAATGCAGTGGATCCGACTGGAATTCGAACTCGGCTCTGCGATTCCTCAATCCAAGCTGCTAACCACTGCTCCATATATATAATTTTGTGTATGTCTTAGTAAAATAAAAGTCACTTTAAGAACGAAGGATGTTACGTTTCAGTCATTCCATTCCGTCCGTGAAGTACGTTGTTTGAAAATATAAGAATCGTGACAAAATGGAAGAAAGAAAAAAAAAAGAAAGAAAGAAGGTAGTTCATAACATAGGAATGTGAAAAGAAAGGAAGAAAGAAAAAATATAAAGAAAAACAGCTAAAATATAGGAATCGAGAAATCGAAGAAAGAAATAAAAATGAATGAAAGAAAGAAAAGAAAAGAAGAGAGTTCATAACACAGGAATGAGAAAAGAAATGAAGAAAGAAAAAAAAGAATGAAAAACTGTTGAAAATATAGGAATCGAGATAAAATCGAAAAAAGGAAGAATGAATGAAAGAAAGAAAAAAAGGAAGAAAGAAAGAAGAATGTTCTTAACATAGGAATCAAGAAAAGAAAGAAAGAAAGAAAAAAAAGAAAAAAATGTTGAAATCGAGAAAAAATAAATCCAAGAAAGAAAGAAAAATGAACGAGAGAAAGAAAAAGAGCGTTCATAACATAGGAATGAGAAAAGAAATGGAGAAAGAAAAAGAAAGAAAAAACAGCTAAAAATATCGGAATCGAGACAAAATCGAAGAAAGCAAGAATGAATGAAGCAAAGAAAAAAATGTAAGAAAGAAAGAAGAGAGTTCTTAATTTAAGAATCAAGAAAAGAAAAAAAAAAGAAAGAAACAAAGAAAAGAAAACAGTTAAAAATAGAGGAATCGAGAAAAATCGAAGAAAAAAGAAAGAAAGAATGAATGAAATAAAAAAAAGAAGGAATGAATGAAATAAAAAAAAAGAAAGAATATCGTTCATAACATTGACTTCGAGAAAAGAAATACATCGAGGCAAAATCGAAGAAAAATGTTCCCAGGAACTCATATTTCCTTCGAAATTTCTTGAACTTTGAGGCAGGTAAATGTAATTAATATTGTTTAATTAGAAACAGAACATTTACTTAAATAAATTATATTTATGAAAATAACTTCTGGAACACTCAGGACGGTAAATGTAAAGGTGGGAGGAGTAAATTATTGTTTTAGTATATGTATTATATTATATTCTATTGTTTTAGTATATATATTATATTCTATTCTATTGTTTTAGTATATATATTATATTTTATTCTATTGTTTTAGTATGTATATTATATTCTCTGTTTACATTATTCGGATTATTATGAAAGACATAGATCATCATAGACAAAGAACATCATTGGAAAACTCGTGAACTTAAGGAATCAGCACATATGCTAAGCCACAAAAATCACCTGAGCCGACCAAGCATAAAAATGAATACTGTTGGCCATGTTCACCATAGTCTATGAATATAGAATACAGCGCAGTACGTAATCTGTTCAATGAAACAACGTTAAAGATTAACACTCACGAGTCAGACACTCTACTGAATCTGACTATATCGCCAATACCACCAGCAGCTGTTAAGTAATTATTCAGTCTTCGATATCAAAGGCTGGCAGTGAGTATTCGAAAAAAAACATGGCCGCCTTTATACACGTCGCATTGAATATTTTGAGCCTTTTGATTGGTTAACCCTTTTATTAGTGAATTATAAAATGAGTCATGTATTTTGGTTTAAGTCACTAGTATACCAGGGTACCTAAAAAAAAAACAAATACAATATGGGAATAAGGATAAATGAGAAAAGCGATAATAACAAAAAAAATCCAATATGAGCTCTGGTAAAAAAATGATTAACAGCAAAAATTGTAATATGAACACTGGTAAAAAAATGACGCTGAGGACATTAAGTTTATAATACCCAGAAATTCATGCACAGATGTCCTCTGGGACACACGGCACAGTGGATAAAGGCGTTGGTTAGATTTAGAGTTGTGAGTTCAATACATGGTTAAGGCGGTGGAGAACTTGGAGAGGAAATTAACAGGAGATAACTGATAACTGACATCCATTGAACATGGTACGTTGAACTAGAACAGTCTACACCAGTGAGTGAAATAAAGGGTTCAGTTCAACATTCCAACCACCTGAAGAAGGCCGGAGCGTCCAACGACCGAAACGTTGTGATAAACACGGCCTCAAAGATGAGGACAATAGTCCGAATGATGTAAATAGTGTACATAATATCTCATCTCAAATTTATACCGACAAACATATTCTATTCTTCAAAACAGAGCATTTACTTAAATAAATTATATCTATGAAAAATAACGTATTTATTTCAATATATATATATATATATATATATATATATATATATATATATATATATATATATAATTATTATAAAATATTATTTCAATACGCTACAATAAGAGTTCTCATGTTTCAAAACAAGAGCCGAAAACTTCAATATAGTTATTTGAATTAAATTGAATTAAAGTACTCAGTTCTGTTCCATCTTCAAAAATAAAATTTATTATTTAACAGTTCTTTCCTATTTTCTATATATTTTTCAAACAACACACACACACACACACACACACATATTATATATATATATATATATATATACACTCTACACAATTATTTGTGGATATCTATGTTTGAGTAGACGCCCACAAGAGGACATCTACTCACCATGATATATATATATATATATATAATATATGTGTGTGTGTGTTGTGATTTGAAATAGAATTTTTTAGAGATTTAGAGAGATAGAGAATTTAAAATCTCTTTTATATAAACCCTGGGTTTGTAAACTTTGGCCTTTTATTCAATTCAATAAACTGAAAATCTGCCTTCAATTTCTATTTAATAACCCCATCCATCCAAAAGCCAGTCCTGCCCTGATCGGAGGCAAATATCCTAAATCCAATAACATCTTTCTTTTTTCTTTTTTTTTTCTTTTTTTTTTTTTAATGTTTTATATTTGCTCTGATGATCTGGATAAGTTTCAGGTAATTTGTGTAATCAAACGTTTTATTCTATCAGTTATCCGTTTAAGTTATTCTTTGTATTATTTTATATTTTTTTTTTGTCCCCAAAATTGGGACGGATAGAGTACGAGGGACAGGAGTTCCCCATTCTAAATAGTATAACAGACACAAACACAAAAATTGTTCAACACTGCACTAAAATGACAACCCCATTAGGATCATCGAAATGTCGCCTCCAGTTGCGGCTCTGACCAAAATAGCCATTTAATCTCGTTTCTCTCCTTGATATATATTTCCCTACCGCAGCACCGGTCCGCCACCCCTCTGACTGATGTGTGGAGCTGTTTACAGGCAAATCAGTGTCATCTGGCGGCAATGTCCTCCTTGCCATGGGACACGTACCGAAAAGTATTGTGTCTGTTCGAGAATAAACCGGTGCAAACACAAAGTCTAACACCTGCACTAAAGGGGTCAGAAATTACTGAAGAGGCAAATGTGAAGGACGATGGTTCAAGCCCCGAAGCCTGAGCAGGAATGAACAGACTAAGACGCAAGACAGATAATGAAGGGGCTTATATAGATAGATAGATATATATATATATATAGATATATATATAGATGAATAATAACAAATTTTAGATATGAAACAGAAAAACATAAATATGAGAAATAGACTTTACAGATAGATAGATACTAATAAATTTATTTCTTTAACAGACTTTCATATGAAAGTTTACAGAAGACAGATAAATTTACTTTTTTAGATAGATAGATTGCATAGATAGATAGATAGATAAATAATAAATTCATGACAGTAAATAGTATGGGAACAGACCAAGATAAATAGATTAAATTACATACACACACACACACACACACACACACATATATATATATATATATATATATATATATATATATATATATATATATATATATATAGATAACTAGACTCGTTTCGAAAAAAAACCCTCAATTTTTGATTTGCTAATCAAATCAATCTCGAGGGAAAAAAAGGTTTTAAAAAAGAAAGAGCTACAAACATGAACTTCTGCCGACAAAAAAATCGCACAGATGCAGGTCTGAAGCCCAAAGAAAAAACCCCGATACGAGTAAACAACTAACTAACAAAAGAGCTCAATACAACCGTAGAGCAGACCTAGATAAACCTAGTGAGCCAGACAAACCTACCTAGGTTTCACCTAAACGGATCGTCAGGGAAAGTTTGTTTTTTTGAAACATATATATATATTATATATATATATATATATATTTATATATATATATATATATATGTAATATATATATATATATATATATATATATATATATATATATATATATATATATATATATAAATATAAAATATAAAGAACAGATGGAGTAAATGCTTCGAATAGTGGAATTTTACTCTTAATAGATATACTGTTCGTAGCATTTACTTTTAAAGTGCTCATTACAATTTGGTAATCTGGTATTAGAATCTCTAAAGTTTTTTTTCTGTATGAAGAGAATATACTGCTACAGTATCACCAAGAAAATCATCCAGACTCTCGACAAAAATCCAAACTTTGTTGGCACTAAATAAACAATTGAGGTTGATATATTGTAAAACAAAATGAACCAAACCAATCTGAAAAGAATACATCAATGAAACTAGACTCTTGACGAATTTGAACCTCTTTACAAAAAAAATTTCAATGAATCCTGATCTACAAACTGATTCCTTTACATATTCTATTATGTAAATATATTCTTTCTTTTTTTTTGACCTATCCCATTGAAATCTTGTCACAAAATAAATTATTTTTTATCTAAATAAACTTTTCTTAATAAAATTAAATTTATTTTTCGTACGAATCTATCCTAAAAAATTTGTCTGCAAATAAACCAATTGAAAGATCTACAAACTTGATTTACCAAACCTAATTTACAAACTATTTCTATTCGTATTATTTATTACATATTTAACCATATAAAAATTTGTCTGCATTAAATAAAAATTGAAATGATATGCCGTAAAACAAAATAAACCAAACCTTTCTACAAACTGATTTCTTACAAATGAATACATATTCTATTCATAAGAACCTATCCTAAAAATCTTGTCGGCATTAAATAACCCATTGAGGTTGATATGCCGTAAAACAAAATAAACAATTCTGATCTACAGACTGATTCCTTACAAAGTGTACATATTCTATTCATACGAACCTATCCTAAAAATCTTGGCATTAAATAACCCAGTGAGGTGTTGATATGCCGTAAAACACACACAACTAAACCAATCCTAAAATAATACATCAATGAAAAAAGACTCTCGACATGGAGCAAGATATTTTTTACTTGCATCAAGTCAATGATTGGTGAGTACATAGATATGTATTTTTCTGTAGCAGGATAACATATTGCTACAATATCCCCACTAAAAATAAAATCCAAAAAATTGAACATGATATTGTCTGTTTGTCACCAAAGGTTTTGAGTACCGTTATTTAAAATAAATATAATTATCAGAATTCTCTTCGACTGACTAACAAACTTCTACTGACTTACATTGGACACTATTTATAATATTCGGTCTATTCTTTGTCGCCATATTTATCAAAACGTTTCGGCCGAATGTCGAACTGAACCCTTTATTTTGCTCACCGGGGTAGACTGTTCTAGTTCCACGTGCCATGTTTAATGGATGTCAGTTATCTCCTGTTAATTCCCCTCTCCAAGTTCTCCACTGCCTTGACGGGTATTGAACTCACACTCTTTGTGTCCTGTCAGTGGATCTAACCAAAATTTAATGGCTTTTATCCACTGTGCCATGTGTCATTGCGGACAAATTGTGGATTTATTTAATGGTACTATAAACCCTAATGACTTCAGCAATCATTTTTTTAACAGTGCTCATATTGCAATTCTTTTTAATGTTATCATTACATAAAATTACCAGATCTTATTTTTGAACATTTTTTTTTGTTATTATCGTTTTCTCTGGCAATCCTTATTACTGGTTCCCCATATTGTATTCATTTCTATGCTTGGTCGGCTCAGGTGATTTTGTAATTCCTACATATTTGTGCTGATTTCTTAAGTTTACGAATTTTCCAATGGTGTTCCTTGTCTATGATCTCAACCTGTGGGATTAGGTCGAGATCATAGACAGGGAATACCATCTTTATATCTTTTAATAATAATAATAATATTATGCCCGGAACTAGCAAAAAAGAAGTATACCTATAGACACAACAAGGTAGCGACATATGTGCACTGGAAAATCTGCTAGAAGCACAAAATCGAAATCACTGAGAGATGGTATGAGTTCCAACCAGACACAGTTACCAAAAATAACGCTGTAACTATCCTCTGGGACATGCCAATTCAAACTGACAGGGAAATAAAAACCAACAAACCCGATATTATCATGAAAGACAAGAAAGTCAGGAAGTGTATGCTTATTGACATGGCAGTACCATCTCAGAGAAATACCTCCATTAAAATTATCGAGAAATTGTCCAAATACAAAGACCTGGAGATCGAGATTAACAGGACGTGGAGGAATGAAGACTGAGACTGTACCAATAGTAATCGGAGCACTGGGTCTCGTGAGAAAAGGAATGGACAATTTTTTTTTGTCTTTGCCAACATTAACATACCAGAAAATCGCCCTAATAAGGACATCCCATATACTAAGAAAAGTGCTGTCAATTAAATGACAATTCTCCTATAGGGCCTAACGACTATAGTTTGGACCCGGCTCTACAGAATACAAAGCAGGAAACAACAAAGCAAATAATAATAATAATAATAATGATGATGATGATGATGATAATGGACAATTTTAATAACAGTGTCCCAGGTAACATCAACATAAAGTTTTCCTAGAAAATGGCCCTACTAAGAACATTCGATATACTAAGAAAAGTGTTATCATTTAAAGAAAAAAGAAAGACAGAAACACACTGCAAATACCTTAAAAACGAACGGACTGTTTCGTTTTATCGCGTGGAAAAACAGTAAAGACATATCAGAGACGCTACTTGGTTTCAGTGAGAAAAAGAAAGAAAGAAACAAACACACTGCCAATACCTTAAAAAATAACGGACTGTTTCGTTTTGAACGCGTGGAAACACAGAAAAGACATATCAGAGACGCTACTTGGTTTCAGTGAGAAAAAGAAAGAAAGAAACAAACACACTGCCAATACCTTAAAAAATAACGGACTGTTTCGTTTTGAACGCGTGGAAACACAGAAAAGACATATCAGAGACGCAACTTGGTTTCAGTTTTAGTTAAAAAAAAAAGAAAGAAAAAAAAACATACTGCCAATACCTTTAAAAAATAACATAACTGTTTTTGTTTTTAAACGCGTGGAAACACACAGAAAAAGACATATCAGAGACGCAACTTGGTTTCATTTTTAAAAAGAAAGAAAGAAACAAACATACTGCCAATATTTTAAAAAATAACGGACTGTTTCGTTTTGAACGCGTGGAAAAACAGAAAAGACATATCAGATACGCAACTTGCTTCAGTGAAAAAGAAAGTTAATAACAAACTGTTAATACCTTAAAAATAACGGACTGTTTCGTTTTTGAACGTGTTCTTTCAAGAAAATTTCAATCTCAATCGCTACTTGGTTTCACTTAAAAGAAAGAAAAAAAGAAAACAAAAAGGGCACGATTAGTAAAAGCTAACTGGTAAAAGAATAATCCTACAAAGTTTTAAACAATTTAAGCCATCATTTGGAGTTCTGTTTCATTTTAAATTACATAAATTTTGTCCCAAATTTCCGCTTCCTTCAATTCCCCAATTTGGCAGCCTGGGGTTTCTTTCCTTTTGAAAATACTTTTTAATATAAGATTTCTTAATTTGAAAAAAAAAAATGTGTTTTTCTGGTTCTGGGACTAATTCACAAAGCCGAAGCGAAAATCCCGAAATACCTGAACAGGTCTTTTTCCATCCTCCAATCTCGATAATTGTTGCCTTATTTTTTTAACCGAAAAATATACCTTTTTTTCATCTTTCTTCAGTTTTTTTTTTATTTATTTTTTTTTTATTTTCTTTTTGCTGAGGAATTTTGTCTACGCGTTTCAATGGACAAATTTTTTTTCTTTCTATCTTTTGGAAAAAAACATTTGCAGGTGACGCTTAAATGATGGTTTCACAGAAAAGAAAGAAAAAAAAATATGTCAATAAAACATTGGGCAGTGGATGAGTTTTTTTTAATTTCATTTGCTCGTTTTCTTTTTTTTTTTTCTTTCTCTCTCTGATTTTCTTTCTTTCTACTTTTCATTGTTCGTTTCTTTTTTCTTTTTCTTTTAAAAATTTAAATCTTTTTTCTTTCTTTCTTTTTTTTCTTTTTTTTGCTTTCATTTTTTTTCCTACGCTATGCATATTTTCTTCCTTTCTATTGTTTCTTTTTTTTTCTTAATTTCTTTTTTTTACTTTACTCCTTTTTCCCATATTCCTTCTTTCTTTCTTTCTTTCTTTCTTTCTTTCTTTCTTTCTTTCTTTCTACGATTTCTTTTTTTTCCATTCTATTGTCCTTTCTTTCATTTATCCCATCTTCCATTTTTCTTTCGTTCTTTTTTTCTGTTGTTTTTTTCCTTCGTTTTTCTCTGTTGTGCTTTATTTCTTACATTCTCTGCTCCTTTCTTTCTTTCTTTCTTTCTTTCTTTCTTTTCCCTACCTCCATTGTTCTTTGTTTTTTCTGTTTTAATGTTTTTTGTTTTTTTGTTTGTTTGAGAAACTTTCTTTTGTTTGTTTCATTTTGTTTCTTTCAATCTTTTTTCTTTTTTTTTTTTTTTTCATTAAATTTTTTTTTTTATTTTTTGTCTTTTTTTTGTTTTTTTTTGCTGAATTTTTCTTTTTCTTTTTTTCTCTAAAAATTCTTTTTCTGTCGTTAAAATTTTCTTTCTTTCTTTCTTTCTTTCTTTCTTTCTTTCTTTCTTTCTTTTTTTCTTTTTTCTTTTTGCTCTTTCTTCCATTCTGTCGTTAAAATTTTCTTTTTTCTTTCATTTTCTTTTTCTTTCTTTCTTTCTTTCTTTTAATTTCTTTCAAAAAAGAATTTTTTTCATTTTTTTGTCTTATGATTTCTTTCTTCCATTCTGTCGTTATGAGTTTTTTTCTTTTTTTTTTTTTTTTTTTCTTTTTTTCTTTTTTTTTCTTTCTTTTCTTCATTCTTTTTTTCTGATCTTTCTTTCTTCCATTCTGTCGTTAGTTTTTTTTTTTCTTTCTTTCTTTCTTTCTTTTTTCTTTTTTTTTTCTTTTTTCTTTTCTTCATTCTTTTTTCTTTTTATGATTTCTTTTCTTCCATTTTTTAAAGGTTTTTCTTTTTCTTTCTTTTTTTTTTTTTTTTTTTTCTTTTTTTTTTCATTCTTCATTCTTTTTCTCTTATAATTTCTTTCTTCCATTCTGTTTAGTTCTTTTTTCTTTTTTTTCTTAGAATTTTTTTTTCTTTCTTTTTTTTTTTTCTTCATTTTTTTCTCTTTTTTTCTTTCTTCCATTCTGTCGTTAGTTCTTTTTTTTTCTTTTTTCTTTCTTTAGATTTTTCTTTTTCTTTTTTTCTTTGCTATTTTTTTCCTTCTGTCGATTTCTTTTTTTTTCTTTCTTTTTCTTTCTTTCTTTCTTTCTTTCTTCATTCTTTTTCTCTGCTAAGATTTTTTTCATTTCTTCTTATTCTTTTCTTTTTTTTCTTTCTTTCTTTTTTTTTTTCTTTTTTCATTTTTTTTTCTTTATAGTTTTCTTTCTTTCCATTCTGTCGTTTTCTTTTCTTTTCTTTCTTTTTTCTTTCTTTCTTTTCTTCATTCTTTTTTCTCTTTTCTGTCTTTCTTTTCTTCCATTCTGTCGTTAGTTCTTTTTCTTTTCTTTCTTTCTTTCTTTCTTTTTTTCTTTATTCTTTTTCTTTTCTCTTCCATTTTTTTAGTTTTTTTTTCTTTCTTTCTTTCTTTCTTTCTTTTCTTTTTCTTTTTTCTCTTTTTTTTCTTTTTTCCATTTGTTTTTCTTTTTCTTTCTTTTTTTTTTCTTTCTTTCTTTCTTTTCTTTATTTTTTTCTCTGCTCTTTTTCTTCCATTCTGTCGTTAGTTCTTTTTCTTTCTTTCTTTCTTACTTTCTTTCTTTCTTTCTTTCTTTCTTTCTTTCTTTTTTTCTTTCCTTTTGTTTTCTTCTTTCCTCCTTTTCCCCATTCACGTCAAATGTTGTTCTTTTTTTTTTTTTTCTTTTTAAAAGCCATTTAATTTTTTCTTTCTTTGTTTTTCTTTCCTTTTTTCATTCGTCTTTCTTTCTGGAGGTTTTTATTTTTTTCCTTCTTTCCTTTTTCTTTTTTTCTTTCTTTATTTTTGTCTTCATTCTATTTTTTCAATGACTTTCTTTTCTTTTTTTTTTATTTTTTTTTCTTTTTTCCCATCTTTACTTTGTTCTTTCTTTCTTTCTTTCTTTTTTCTTTCTTTCTTTCTTTGTCCTTTCTTTCATTTATTCTTTGTTTCCATTTTTTTTACTTTTTTGTTTTTTTTCTTTTTTCTTTCTTTCTTTTTTTTTTCTTTCTTTTTTCTTTCTTTTGTCTTGTCAAATTATTCCTTTTCTTTCTTTGAAAAAATTTTCTTTCTTTCTTTCTTTCTTTCTTTATTTTTTTTCTTTTTCCATTCTATTTTTCTTTCATTTCCCATCCATTTTTTCGTTCTTTTCTTTTTTTTCTATTTTCCCTTCATTTTCTTTTTTTCATTCTTTTCTTTTCTTTTTTTCTTTTTGGTCTTTTTTTTTTCTTTCTTTTTTTTTTCATTCTATTTTTGTTCTTGTTTTATTCTTTTTCATTTCCTTTTTTTCCTTTTTTTCTTTCATTCCATTGTTTTCTTTCTTTTTTCCGTTTTTATTTTTCCTTTTTATTTTTCTGCTATACATTCTTTCTTCCTTTTTGTTATTCGTTTCTCTTTTTTCTTTCTTTCTTTCTTTCTTTTTTCTTTCTTTCTTTATTTCTCTCTTTTTTCTTTTTTTCTCTCTTTTTTCTTTCTTTCTTTCTCTCTTTTTTCTTTTTTTCTTTCTTTCTTTCTTTCTTTTTTCTTTCTTTCTTTCTTTCTTTCTTTCTTTCTTATTCACCCCAGATACTGTAATTTAGCCCGAGTAATAAAGTTATAAATTTTAAATCAAAGTTTGTTCATTTACTTTGTTCGGACTGTTGTCCTCATCTTTTTTGCCATAGTCACGACGTTTCGGCCGTTGTACGCTCCGGCCTTCTTCAGGTGATTGGAATTTCGAACTGAACCCTTTATTTCGTCCACCAAATATTGTTTTTGTTTTTTAATTAATTTTTTGGTACTCTTTTGAAATGATAAATTTTAAATCAAAATTTGTTTATCTTGCCTCGCAACAACTCCAATCTTTAGAATGAAAAAATTACCAAAAATCAGGAAGTTATTCACATTTCTTTCTTTTGATATTTGAGGTCATGGGGATTTTTCTTTTTTTAAAATTTAATTAAAAAAAAAAAAATTCTGTTTTTTTCTTGTTTAAATAGGGATTTTGAACGCAAACCCCATAGTTGAAATAGCGCAAAACGGAATTACCCACATTTGGGGCTTTTTAAAAGTCAACCCAACTGAACAGTTCTCGAAGGGCCTCAGCTTTCTGGGATAATTATGTTAATTTAGTAAATATAAATTTTTTTTTTTTAAATTAGGGATATATTTAATTCCAATTCTTTATCGTTCTCTTTTTGTTAGTGTAACCACCTTCGTTTGAGTGGCATTATCGCCTTGCTTGGGGTGAAAGAATTTAAAAAATAATTTTTGTAAAATGTACGCTTTTGACATTTATTAAAAATTACGTATTTCCCCAAAATTTTCAATTGCAAAAAAAAAAATATGATTTTATCATGTATCTTGTGTATCATTTTTCCTTTTTGAGAGACCAAATTATTTAGACTAATGGTTATAGGAAAAGAGAAACTCGCTAATCCTCTTTTCCTCTATCTCTTTATCCCATCTTCTAAATTATTAAATAAGTTAAAAAAATAAAAAGAAAGATAAAAATATTCATGTTAGTAACGCCATACTCGCTGCGTTTTACCAAAATAAACTAAAAATCTTCGAAAACATTTTATAAACGTAAATAATGGAAAAAATGTATATTCGCTATATTTTGCATTTATAATACGATATTAATATGTATAATATTACATATGTTATTATTGGATATATTATTTTATCATGTATATTGGGTATAATTTAGAGTTTTTTTTGAGAGGCCAAATTAAAATGGACTAATCTCTTTTCCTCTATCTCTCGTTATCCCATCTTCAAAATAAATAAGTTAAAAAAAAAAAAAGTTAGAATGATAAAAGTATCGTTATAAAAAATGATTTTATCATATGAGTTCCATTTTGGAGACCAAATTACAATAGACTAACGGTTAGATAAAAGGTTTACTCGCTATCCTTTTTTTAGTCTAATCTCTTTATCCCATCTTCTAGTTAAATAAGTTAAAAAAAGTAAAAGAGAAATATAAAAAAAATCGTTAGTAACAATACTTGAATAAATGTGTATAGCATAAACAACCCATCAAAAAACAGCTAAACATCTTATAAACGTAAATAATGGAAAAGATGTATATTCGCTATGTTTGTATTTTATAATACGATATTAATATGTGAATATTACATGTGTTATTATTGGATATATTATTTATCATGTATCTTGGGTATAATTTGAGTTCTTTTTTTGAGAGGCCAAATTAAAATGGACTAATCCTTTTTCCTATCTCGTTATCCCATCTTCAAGTTAAATAAAATAAAAAAATAAAAATATAGAATGATAAAAGTATCGTTAGTAAAAATGATTTTATCATGTATATGCGAGTTCCATTTTGGAGAGAAATTTAAGAAAATAAACTTCACAAAAAGAGGAAAAGAATTCTTAATGATTTCATCTTTTCCTCTAATCTCTATATCCCATCTTCTAGTTAAATAAGTTAAAAAAATAAAAGAGAAATATAAAAGTATCGTTAGTAACACTATACTTAAAAATTCTTAAAATATATAGCCATAAACAAAAAATCAAAAAAAATGTTGGTTATAAACGTAAATAATGGAAAAATGTATATTCACTATGTTTGAATTTTATAATACGATATTAATATTTTATATTAAACATTTGTTTTTTTTTTATATCATCGGATGGTAATGTTTATTCCTTAATGTTTTTTGTCTTCCTAAAAAAAATCCAATGCCCACTTAGACAAATTTAAAATCTTTACAAAATTAAATGCACAGAATTATCTATGGTTTTAATATATGATACATAACTGAAAATTTAGAACTGAAACAAACATAATTGAAAATTTATGATTTCTCTTTTATTATTTTTCTCTTTATCTCTTGATGAATTTTAATAAAAATATTAAATATGTTAAATTGATATCGTTTTCATTCTCCATATAAGCCCAATTAATGTCATAATTTTAATATCTGTCAGGCTTAGATAGAAATTTTAAACGGTTAGAGGAAAAGGAAATTTTTATTACTAATCCTTTTTTTCCTCATCAGTTAAAAAAATAAGTTAAAAAAAAAAAAAATGATAAATTCGTTCAAAGGAAAATTGAATTCAGAATTTCAAAATAAATCTTCGAAATCTCTGATTTTTGGAAATCTATTCTATTATATATATCTATATATATATATATATATATATATATATATATATATATATATATAATATTCATTAATATTTATATATATTTTTCAAAAAAATATCATCTATCATTGACATCAATCTGTTTCTTATCTATATATCTATATATATATAGATGTTAATATATTATCTATATATATATATATATATATATATATGTATATATATATATATATAAATCCATTCATTTTATCTATATATTTATCTATATATATATATTATATATATTTCATATTATATTTCATATTTTTATATCTATGTATGTATTCAAAACATCATTGCATATTTGTCTATATATATTTTATATATATAATAAATTATATATATAATCAATATCTATGTCATATCAGTAAACTTCAAGTCATATATTTAAATGGAAATTCATTGGTCTCTTTATCTAAAACAATATCTATCTTTCTATCTATCTTCTAAGTTCTGATATTGCATTACATTACATTTTTTTAGAATATACATTTTATTCCTTTTTATCTTTATAATTTTTTGTTTATTATAATATGTCTATTTATCTATATAGATAGATATATCTATTCTAATGTAGAAATTAGATAGATATTTTTCCAAATAGTGCTTCTTTACGATTGAATTGGAATTCCAAAATAGATTTTTAATAAAAACATACACACAAAAAAAACGGGCCAAAATAATAATAGATAATAATTCATACCTGCAAAATAGATAGATAGATATAATAAACATAAAAAGGATATATACATGTATATATATGAGTGTTCCTTTTTTATTGACCAAATAATAATAAATAATAACCTATTTCCTCTATCTCTTTATCCGATCTTGTAGTTAAATTGGTTGAAAATTTTTAAAAAGAATAAAAATAATATCGTTAATAACGCTATACTTTTTAAAAAACGCGTACAGCTATAAACCACCGAACGAGAAACAGCTAAACATCTTATAAACATATACATCGGAAAAGATACATATTCGCATGTTTGTATTTTAAATACGATAAATATAAATTAACATTACATGCATTATTATTGGATACAGTTATGTAAAATAAAGTTTTATCAAAATCATGTTTATTTTAAATACAGCTGTACGTTTTGACGACAGTAAGTAGACAGCAGGACATACTCTAACTTTATATCTCATTCATGATACGACCTCCTTAAAATTAGCTGCAAAATTAGGTCTCCAAATATCGCATGATACGCGAGTATAAACAGTATAGTTTTTAAAACAATTTTTATATTCATAAGGAAAATTAAATGATAGCATTGTCATTGTGGGTGGGCTCCCTTTGTCTCTAGGCAACCAATATTTTTTGAAACAGTCAATACTACTACTACTACTAATACTACTACTACTACTACTACTATTAATAATAATAATAATAATAATAATGATGATGATGATAATAAAAATAATAAATGCCTGTCGATGTCGACTTTCTATTTGTCATGACGACACACCTGCTTCTGTGTCTACCTTTCCCGCCAATCAACAGAATGACATTAATCTATCTCATGGAAATTTATCATTGACGATCAAGATAAAAAATTTCTGGCCCTTGAAATTTCAGTTTCTTAACAGAAAAAGGTTATTTTTAGGGGTTTAACAGGTTTTCGCCATTACATATTAGCATTGTCGATTATCAATAAGATGGAAAGAAGACTAATATAGTCATCCTTAGTGACATATGGACACGGATGGATGCAAAAATATATATATATATATATATATATATATATATATATATATATATATATATATATATAGGCATGGTGTCCATAAGTTCATGTGCACTTTAAAGAATTTGTAACTTTATTTGTATTTGCGATAGAAATAATTTGTAAAAAAGGATTAGAAAAGAAGTAAATCTATATTTTTTAAGTTTTATTGAATTTTTATTTAAGTTTCCACATGTCCTCCATCATTAGCAATATAAAGGGTAAATACGATTTTGCAGTTCACGGAAAACATTTGCCAACTGATACAGTAATGCCTGAAATCACAGTAGTTATTTTAGCTGTACTTAAAACTAGGTACATTAAACTTTATAACATTTTTTACAGAGTATTTCTATCGCAAATACAAATAAAGTTATAAATTTTTTAAAATGCACACGAACTTTATGGACACACTGTATATATATATATATATATATATATATATATATATATATATATATATATATATATATATGTATATATGTATGTATGTTATCAAAAAAAAATATAATTATTTGAATTAAATAAAATTTAAGTACCAAGCTCTGTTCCATCTTCAAACAAATTTTTTTTTTGGAATAAAACTATTCCGGAAATTTACGCGTTTATAAGTCATATTCATTTCAATTTAATTCAAATAATTAACTAATAATAAAGTTTTCGGCTCTTGTTTTTGAAACATATATATATAACTCTTATGTATCGTGTTG